TATATCTATAGGATATATAAATGGAGAGTAAATGCATATACAGTATTTAAAGTACAGCAGCAAGGCTAAGAACAGCAATACTTGGCTCTGCATCAGTAGGTTTTACAACTTTTACAACAGCATCTCCTGGAGGGTGGGGAAAATAGCTGTTAAAGCCTTAAAGAATGGTTTCTGCTCACATCTTCAAGCTGTGAAAGTGTTATGATACAGCTGCCAGTCTCTGCCAACCTGACAACCACCTCCAGCACCACACAGTGACCCCAACCAGACCAGAGTGACTTCAGCTAGAGACTACCAGCAATTTTGACTGAGCTGAAACCACAGGTCAGGAGAAATATGCCAACAGACTCCCAGATATGCCACAAACAGGACTTCAAGAACAGAAGAATCTATGATTTCCTATAATCTTTCAAATATTGTTAATTTAATTAATTAGTACAATAGTAACATGAATTTGAAATACATTCGGGATTTCATTCACTCGTTGTTTTTTTTGCTGACAGCTCAATGATGTTATTAGCATGTGTATTGGCAATCCAATCTATTGTTTATAATGAACCTTCTGATGTAGCCACTGTAGGTGCACAGAGGGACATTTTAGACCAATTTTTTTTTAATTGCTTATCAGTGGTAAAGGCTCAATGCAATATCAGATAAATTGGATATGTTTATTTTTTAAGAATCCTTAGTAGGATACTTTATTAGAAACTTTATAAGTAAATATTCCATCATTGTTTGTGAAATGCTCAGAAAAAACTCTTGGGCTTGGACATTTTGGCCTCCCTGAATTTCCTCCTTAAATCAGTTGCTGAAGCTGTTTTCCACTTCTTTATCTGACCTGCTGTGTAGTAGGATTGCTGGCTCATAATGTCTGCCTTGCATCACCCAGAATGGTGCTGCACATACAGTACGTGGTGAATAAAATGGCCCCTCTGCAATATGTAAAGCATTCTGGGAAGAAGCAATATAGAAGCAAGCAATAATTAAAGTCATCACAAGCAATAATTTGCCTAATTAGACAGTTTTTCTGGTCTCCAGTTGTTGTGGATTGATTTCATATGCACAGTGCATCTAAAATACAATATATTTTAGCAGTGTGCACACATTGTATAACTACAGATGTATAATGCTCAATGACTTTAAAATAATAAGATTTTTTTAAATCTCTAAAAAGAGTTTAAAAACACGCAAGTGAAATAGAGACACTAATGACAATCGACACTGCTGTATTGATTTTTACGTATCCTGAGAGAGGAGCGTTAGACCTCTAATCAGGAGAATTTGTGGTCATCAGGTTTACAATACAGTGCCACTGTGGTTGGAAATTGACTACAAAGGGCTGCGCTGAGCATCCTGTTTCTGTTACAATAGAACGGGGCCTGTCGGATTCAATTTATTTGGCTTGTCTATTTGCTATTTGTTCTTTCATCTTCGTACAGTTTAGCGTTTGCTAGAAAGCCAGAGATAATAGCATGAATGTTAGCTGTTGACAAGCAGGATTATAGGGTATATGTTAGCTATATTGTGAAGAACTGCTCCATTTTTTTTAAGATGTTCGAAAGAGAAAGGGTTACAGAACTGAACAAGAATGAAAAAGAAATAGTTACCTTTTTCTCCTCTGTAGAGATGCAGTGGTAAAAGAAAAGGCAAAAAAGAAAGATAAGGCTCACAGTTTATTCAGCTCATTACAATGTTATGGATTGCTCATGTCAACCAGTAAGTGCTCTTTTATCATTCCTCACAATAGGCCGGCCACAAAGCGCATTTTCTTCCCCAAGTGAAATTTACCATGTTAAAGCGCTGCGTCACTAAGGGAAACCTGTGTATGGCTCAAGATTTATTGCTGTGATTAAATTAGGCAACCGTGGATAAGCGGTGCGGAGAAAATAAATATGAAATAACACAAACGTTTTACTCCGTGGTTAAATTGATTAGCCCATACCTTTTAAGGTATTACATATCACCATAGCTGTGGGCGTTTAGGAAAAAAAGATTGAGCGTGTGTGAAGTGTTGGTAACAAGTTTGGACCTATTGTTTTCACATGGCAAAAGAAAAAAAAACAAGCAATCATTTAGTGCTGAGGCCTTAAGCAGTGTTAGATACAATTCTTGTCCCCACGTGCCAAATTACTAAGAGGTTTTTGATAGTTCTGCATTGTAATTTAGTAGATACAGAGGTTTTCTCACCACAGAATGTTAAACCCTTAAGAGACTGATATTTATTTTCTGCACGTCACTGTATATCAGGTAAAGGTTTCATACAGAACACCCTCTTAGAGTCCCATGCAGCTGAGAACAAGGCCATTTCATTCAAACTTACTCCTGTATGTAGGAATACAGTTTTTGTAATGCCAGGGAAGCCACAACTCTAAAATATCTTGCTTTAAAAAAGTATAGAACATTAGTGAACAGTTGGATTTGGAGACCACAGTCACCTCATTATAAAGACTCCCATGTTTCAACTTTTTCTTGCAAATCTGGATTTAAAAGGGTAGATTCATCTGTTTTTGTACACTTACTGCCGCTGCGCTGTGGAGCTCTCAGCACAGGCATGAATGCTTCTAAAAATATTCTGTGCACATCAAAGGTGAGGAATTTTAATAAGACAAGTTTGCAAATTGGATCCCATTTCTTAAGTCGAGCAAAAAAATTCAGTTTAACTTCTGAACAATTGGAACTGCAAAACAATTTTAAAAGTATCAACTTTTTGTGTGTGGGAAGACTTACACATTATTGAAATCTAAACATTTATTCTTTAGTGTGATGGTACTTGTAATAATTAGAACATTACAGAGCGATTTACAGTACTGAAATGAAGGTACAGAAATTATTGCACATTATTATATGCGGAAATAATTGCCAGTGCTGAGATATTGGAAAAAAATGATCAGAGCCTCAGTTAAATGTCTCATGCCACGAACACCTACAATACAGTGTTCCCTGTCATCACACAACTCTGGTCCAGGGGCGGGATGGCCAGGTTCTTGTCTGCTCACAGCCTGGGTTTCCATGGAAAAGGTCTCTTGTCCGATTACAGCTCAGGCTCTGCCCAGCCTACCTGCTGAAATCTGGTTTCAAGGTGGTTTAACTGCCGACAACAGAGTTGGAGGAAATGATGGTCTAATTCAGGTGTCTGGCCTTAAAAAAGGTTGATTGAGGAGAGTCCAGACATTCATTTCCTGTGACTTGTCAGTGTATTCCTAATCTGTATTACTAACAGGAATTGCAGTATTCCTGAAAGAGGTGTACCTACTATGTCATTCACAAAAGCAAATGTTTAGAAGTTTAGTTTGCAGTATAAATGAAATTAGAAAAGGTAGAGCACATTTCACTCTAATTATATCCCATATACACCTTGATCAGCCCCTCGGACGCTAATCCTGAAAATATTCAGTTCCTTTATGTATGAAAGTCAACTACTTACATCACACAATGTAAGAATGCAAGTTAATGCTAACATTCTGTTTGAAACTAATTTGGTTACTTAGGTATTAATATTTGGGTATTTCCCACTTTTTCACAGCTGAACAGCCCACATCAGGCTGATCAGTTGAACTAGATTTCGAATTCTGTGGATGAATGGGAAGGATGTGCGTGTAAATGTCACAAGAAGTTGTTGATTTATACAGGTATAGATTAGCTGTCGGGTTAGAAGAAAAAACACATTTAACACTACTTGTCAGGTTGTTTAGCTAAAAAAAACTAATATTGATAAAACTGAAGATTTTAAGCAATGAAAAGAGAGCATAGGAATAGAAATTCTTTCTACTTCCAAATAAAGTGTTCAGCCGCAGATAAAATGAAAACAAGATCTTATCTTTGTCTGATCTTTAAAAAGGATTTAAAGAGATACTGTATAAAGCACCTTTTCTCAAGCTTACAATCTGGGATAGAGACAGACGTGTTTCAAGCTCAGTTACTGGCCAGAATTTTAGGGCCCAGTCAAATTAGCCGATTCTGCCAGTACCAGGCAGCATGTGATTGACCTGAGCATCAGAACTGACTTTTTCCACCTTTCCTGGCTGAGCAATCCCCTGATCTCAATCCTATTTAAAGCAGAATTCATGGTTGAACATGCAGGTCAGTCCCTCATACCCCTGCCCTCATCACAGCCTGCTGTTAAATGGTGTTAAACACTGGCCTGGGATCAGTATGGGGTAGAATACAGTATAGCCATACCCTGTCCAAACCACTCTTACCACTCTCAAATTTACTAACAAATTGAATTAGTAATTAGTAAGCTAGACACATATAATTGCTATTCCAATAGAGGTATCAGTGCAAATGGACCAATGCAGGAAGGTGCATAGGTCTAGGACCAGGAGAGCAGATCATAAAAAGCCAGGTGTCCTTGTCCTAGATGAATTTGTAATACCAGCTTCTCTAGCAACAGGCCACCTTCGCTTGTATGAGTTCAGCGGACTTTTAAAGCTCTTCGTTGTCGAAGGAATGTCGGTAAGACTAAGATGAGGCTTCCCTTCTTTTCCATATTTTCTTAGGTGCCCCGAAGACAAATTGAATTAATTGTGAAATAACACGATACCTGTTAGCAAACAGGTTTATTTTTAACTCGGAACTGTTAAAAATACAGTACAGCAACAGGAAGGTTGCTAGAAATATTTCAGAATACATGACAGTCCTGTTTCTGTTCGCCCCGGGTGTCACTGAGCGGCTTTCCCACACAAACCGCTTCCCACTGCGACTGACTTTGAAGGGGGAAAAAAAAGTGAACAGCATGCAGCTGCTTATTTAGTAATGCGACCAACATCTTTCAGACAACGCAGAATTAAGCTTAATATGATGAAGCTTTAAACAATAAGAACACATATCCAAACTAATAATTAATTTCTGTGATTCCGTGCCAGGGAGCCCGCAAGTGCTACAGACGTGTGTTTGCTGTAGTCTGCGCTGAAGAGGCGCTCGTCACCATTCACACCCTTGGTCTGTGCGCGTCCTGAGGGCTCCCAGATGCTCACGGGCACAGTCCCGGCAGGGGTGTGACGCGCTTCGGTTGCTGTCTGGAATCCGCTAGGAAGAGCAAAAAAAAAAACCACAAACGTAGACCTGTCCTGTGCACATTGGCTCCACTGACAAGATGCCAGACAGATCCCCTTCGCAGCGGAGTGTGGTACCGCGTCGACTCCAACCCCCTCCCATCGCACCGAGGTATCAAATGACGGGGTCGACCCGAGACCCTCGTCTGTTTCCAATCCGTAGTGTCATTCACCAGCACGGTCACGTGAATCCAGAGGGCCGTGCTTTTGGGTATCTCGACCAAAAGGGGCAATCTCACACATTCCCCACCCCCAGCCAAAAAAAGACAGATTTGAGTCCATGAAAATCTCGTAGCAACGGACGGACCCAGCGGAGCTGGCATTGTGGGCTGTTCGCTCCGTCCAAGACCCTACAAACGTGTGCGCAAAACGGAATATACTCTCTGGGTACGGGGGTGACATGTAGGAGACCTGCTGCTGGCGAGTCTTCCGAAGGAAATCGCGGGATTTGCGGATTTCTACTTTTCTTCTTTTTATGGATGCAACGTAGCTTTTGGGGAAAAAGACCTCGGTGGTTCGTTTTCCCACTGCTGCCCCCCGTTTCAAGGAAGGGGGCTCCTTGGAAACGGATAAGCCGAAGTCGAGTAAGTTTTTTTTTTCTCTTGTGTTTACATGATTAAAGTAAACCTCGGGTAGCTTTTCAGAACAAGTTGCGCCACGGAACCTTTATAATACGTTTTAACGTCGAGCTCTATGTGTAAAAGCCTGTGCCCAGTTTTCTTTAATTATTGAACATTCTGTTTGCATAATTCAGATTTGCTGAAGATGTAGGCTGTTGGAAAATTACTTGTGCATTGTGTTTTTTCTTCAGGTCAGTGTGATAGCAGGCTACTGAACGCGTGTTGGAGCGTCTTAATGTGTTTGTGACGAAAAGCTGGGTTATTTTAGAACACACTTAACGCGATTCTTCTGTTTGCCCGTTTTAGACAAAAAAGGAGAAGTCTGATACTGCCGCTGCCACCCCCTTCTCAAACTGGCTGCTTAACGCTACTTTTCTTTGATGCCGAAGGCATTGATATTCTTAACAAGTCTGGAATCTGACCTTGTTTTTGGAAACCATTGATTTGGCTTATGTAGCCAGCTCAGGGTAGGCACGCATTTCAATTAAATTCCGCATCAAAAGCGCTTGGACAACCTTGCTAAATGATGCGTTATCCTCTGCTGTGGAATAGATATAGACTAGCTGCCTGCAGGTCAGGCTGAGCCAGTTGTTCCTAGTGCCGAAACAACGACAGTACATGAGAATTTATTGACTTTCAAACGATAAATGAAAAGATGAACTTTTTGTAAGATCGGTTGAAGGATATGGAATATTTAGAATCCATTAATGATTAAATACTAGTACAGTGCACAACTAGTATAATTTGTTTGGATAACTGGGAAATGCAGTAGTCTGTTTATCGTTTTATTGTGTAGTATTTTGGAACGGACCGAAGTTTTTCCTGAATCATTTTCATTGATATCTATGCGAGGTATCTGTGCGATGTAATCACGTTCGCAGTTTCCTGCAGTTTAGACACTATTTAAGTTCAAGTCGTTGTAGGCTATTTTGTTTCATTTCGTTTCATTCCACTTTTTCCGGTTTGAAAACGTGTCCCGGCAATCAAGCTGAAGTGTTGAAACTTGTGCCCTGGAGATAAACATTTTTTACTAGAAGTCCCAGAAAGGTTTACGGATGAGTACATGTCGTAGTTTTGTATTTATATGTGACAACAAAAACAAATTATTATTATTATTATTATTATTATACGAAAACAGAGCACCGACTGAAATATTTTGATTCTATAATTTCCTCTATAATAAAAGAGTACAAAGTTTATACAACTACCATCAGATACATTAGACGAGAGATGTGAAAATCGGCGTAATCAATGCGGTTTTATTTTATATAATGATCTTTCTTTTGCGATTCTTGCAGATGTTTTGTTATGATCACATTATGGTTTACATACAGTACATATATTCACTTGAATTGAATTGACCATAAGGAAAGGTCAGAAAGAGAGCGAATGAAGTGACACTGGAAATAACAACAGATGGTAAAATTAAAGCAGTGTAATAAAAACAATTCCGAAGGACAAGCAGGGCAAATTCTAAAACAAGTATTAATGGAAAAACAGTTATGACGTTCCGTGACAGCATAACCGCTTAAACCGACCGACGAAAATACATTTCCTCTCGATTCTCCTTTGTGTCCGTGGAACTGAATTCGAGTTCGTTGGTTATCACTGGGAGCCTAAGGATTTTTACGAGACATCTGGATTTAGAATGTTTACTTAGCTCTCAGGGAGCAAAATATCGAAATTAGTCAACCTGCAAAATGCTTAAAGAAAGCCCAATATTGTCTTTTGCTAAGAAACTGAATTGAAAATGTCAAGATAATAAGACAGTAATAATAACGTTACTTATGGAATGAAGGATGACCAGATTATTGTGTATTTGCCTCAAAGTGTGAGGTATCGTTATAGAGCCCTGCCATTACAAACCTCACCAAACAGTGGAATTGTCCTTGTTTTACATTGTAACACTTTCATATGTCATCATAACAGCTCCCAGTGATTGAGTTGTTTATTTACAGAATACATTGCAATGTGATAATTACAGTACTAAAAACAGTTAAATATTGTACGTGTCACCGTCGGGCCCTGGATGATGTACTTCTGCTACACGACACTGAATGTTTGCGGCATTTCTGGTTTGTGTTGGACTTTTTACCCCCAAGGTATTGTTGTGTGAAGGGCACTTATTTCAATATGGCAGTGCTCTGTGTAAGATGCAGGTTTGTCTTTGACCTAGTAGAGCTACTGTACACTGAATGTGTCATCACTGGGTAAACTGACACATTATTCCCTTATGGTTGCTTTTAAGTTTTATTATAGCTCCTAAATGTTCTGTGGCTGTTCTTCTCGAATAAAGAAGTTCTGTGTTTTTAAGCTGGAAGAATAAAAGATAAAATTATTAAAGAATTATGCTGCTCTTTTTTACCTCTTTAATGATTTGAAATACTGCTATTGCTTATGAACTGTCAGTGATTTACTGTGAAAAAGATTGCTCATGATGTGGTTGTCCCAATGGAGACAGGCAGGTTCATAGCTCACTCATCAAACCATCACTCTGCCTGAACACATTCCCACATTGAGGTTTATTTTTATACTGGCTAAACTGGGAATGTTTGTATTGTCATATTAAAGGAACTGCAAGGATTGAAGCAGTATCAATCAGCCATTAACAATCAAGTCACTGGACCAGAAATTTAGTAAGGTAGCAGAGAGATGTATTGTGGTGAGGGGTTGTGTATTTTGGTTGTGCTTGTAAACCAAGACCCTGCTCATGTTGTAGCCAAAGGAGATCCCATGCCACGCTTCAAAACCAGCACGAGTATGAGCCCAATTGCCTATAAAATCCAGCTTGTCTGTTTTATTTGGAGATGCAATCTGTTTCCTGCTCCAAACCCAGCACTCCAATAAATTGTTTAGCTCAAAGTGCTCTGGGAGCTTGCCTTTTGATAAACAGTCCTACATATATGTGTTGATGTTGTGACACATATTTCACTCTGAATCAGGCCTGCAAGTTCCCCATTGCAGCGACAGTAAAGGACACGGACCAAGACTGCAGAATTTGTTATTTTTGAGAGTAACAGAGTTTACTCTGTGTGCAGGATGGGTGAATTCCTAAAGGAATTGTATGCTTTTTGGATTAGGATGTTTTGTGTAAAAAATGCTATTGTTTCTGAAAAGTTAGTATTAGGAAGGTAAAGAAACTCTTGCGACAGTTTTCTTTATTCTGCTGTTGTTTCATTTGGAAAGATTAATGCATCTACAATTTTCCATTTAGAGATGCGTCTGTGGCTTCTGAGTCCACTATATTCATAAAACTGTATTCTCCTTTCAGGTAGTAAGGTTACATTTTAAGAAGGAGGTGGTAACTCCAAATTAATTCAGGCATGAATCTCAGTTCTCACTGTCTCTGACTCCATTAACAATATGATTATTTGTTGAATCTGAACAAAGTGAGTCAATCAAGTGCCAATTCTGAAAAACAACTGTTTTGGAGACTGTGAAAATAGGAGAGTATACTGTGTGCTAGTACACTGTGTGTTGTGGCACATTATCGACACAGGAATGTGACTCCCCCTCCCCTACAACAGTATGTCAGGTTTTCTCAGCTTTTTTCTATATACAGTAGCAATATTTTCTCCCAATTCAACACAAACACTTTAACACTTCAGTTATGATAGTACTATTTAATATATATATAATAAAATCTGACTCAAGGGCATCCAATGTAAGTACTGTCAGAGCAGAACCAGTTTGTGGAAGTGTGACATTTACACACAGATGTACTTGACTGGGGTGAGAAAAGCAATCCCTTATTTACCTCCTTGAGGTAGGTTATACAGGTAATAATATCAAGGGTAACTGAAGGACAAAATTGAACACAATTTACTTGGGGATTGGGTGATTGATTTTTGTTTTTACATTTTATTGTTAGTTTTATAAGGTATTATCTGGAATTATTTGTGATATAAAAAGTGTGGTTAAACTAAAATATGCATATTTAAATGAATTAACGTGCTTCGGATATTCAAGATTAGCATACTGTTGATCCAGAAAAAACACTTCTGGTTTAACTTTATTTATTGAATAAACTTTTAATTTCCCTTATGCTTCTCTTTCTTTTTCCTGTGCAAAAAAGATAATTGAATTGTGCCCCATATTAATGCTCCTGTACAAAGGTCTTTACAGGTGCCTTCCCTAAGGTTTTAAAATTCATTTCCTACCAATTATTAGTTTCAGTGCTATGTTCTTTTTCCCCCTACATTTATCAGAGGGCTGTTTTTATTAAGGATCAAAGGAAAGGATTGCAGGGAGTCTTTGGGGAGTTCTGTCGCTGTAAATACTGATTCTGTTAGAAAAGAAAGAAGTTTTGTAAGGTTTATCTCTGTTTCTGGTAATTAATTGCAGGGATGTGTTTGGTTTAGTTAACCCTTTTGATCTTACTAAACCTTTTACATTGTATGTGTTTTTTTGAAAGATCAGTCCAGGAACGTCTTTGTGGAGTTTTATGATCACTTTTATTCAGTAAAATTATTGTAGTATAATTATGTGGTGCAATGTCCCACCATGTCCCTTTCTCAACTTGCTGATTTAATGTTGCTGTCATGATGCTGTCAAATAACTATTGTAGTAAAGTGTGACTTCATTAGATTATAATCCAGAGGCCTTTGATAGTGTCTTGAGCACAACACTGCTTAAAGCAAGACAACGAAAAAATTCTTAACGCACACTAAAAAAAAAAAGAAGAAATATATACTCTTATTCCAGATATGAACTAATTAAAATCCACTGAAACACAGGTTCATAAATTTGCATAAACAGAAGAAGCCGCTCATTTAAAAAAATGATGCCATTTCATCTGATTTCACAATTGGAATGCTTCAATCACAGAAACATCAAAAGTAGGCATATCTCTTCCTGACATCAAAAAGGCATGATTTATGGCACAGAAAGTTGTCTGGTAGCTAGATATTGATATTATATAAGTGAGATAGTCACTCAATAGTCAAAACACAAAAGGCTGCCAA